TACGTTTGTAAACATACCAAGCAGAATGATAAAAGTATAATAACGATAAAAATGAAATAACGATAAAAAAGTCACTCAAAGAGAAATATATACCCACGTCAAACAAGCACAGCCGTTTATAATCTTCGCGTGCGGAGTCCGTATATGATCTCCGCTCTGCTCCGTATTTCTTCGTATACGGTCACGGCTATATACAATCGTAATACTGAACTACGTAAACGGTCAAAATACGGCCGTTTACAGGCGTATATCAACTTCGTATTCATCGATCTGGGTGTAGAGAATTAAAGGTATCTTGTTATTTCTGTTAGGAAGTGTACATTCAAAAATTTTTTTTTGGATAGTCAACAGTACACCGACGAGAAAATTAGTAGGTTTTGCTCAACTTTTTATGCTCTTTCGAATGATGTAATTTTTATTGAGTTGACATGAGATCGAAAATTTCGAATCAGTTGATATGAATGATTGTCATCATTATCTAAAATACAACAAACTAATACTTACTAAAAGCTGAAGATCATATATCCAAGTTTAGACTAAATCTATTATGTTTGAAATCACAGATTTAATAAACTATTCTTTTCTTCATTATGTTATCAACGTTTTGAGATTTAATATTGTAACGATAAGTGAATGTAGACACATGTTTTTTCGTTTGTTTTCTATTAATATAGAACTCATTTTTGTCACCTTATAATCGATTAAATTAAATCTAAAGATTGAAAACTTTCATGAATTATTACGTTTTAATTTTGCGCCAAGTAAGTGTGTTGTTTCTTTCATTCTTCTGCGTACACAATGCAGGAGCGTAGCCAGGAATTTTCCAAGGGAGGTGTTCAACTTGTGTTAGAGAGTGCCCATCAGTAGGAAAATAATTTTTTGTTTCCCGAAAAGGTTTTTTTTAATCCGTACTTCCTCCAAATGTTTTTTGGTTAAGGAGTTGCACAGGCACTGCGTACACTCTTCTCGCTACGTCTCTGATACAATGTCTATACTACAAGTACGACCCAGAAATGTTCTTGCGTGCTCTTAATTTTGTTGATATTTCAATTTTCTTCTAGACTCTCTTGTCTGAATGAATTCTATTGTATTCAAAGTTTCTTTTTTTTTATAGTCACAATTGAATTTATTGTTCTGTTATGTTTAGAACAAATAACAAAAAATTGAATAAATAACGCATCTCAATCGATAATTGACAATGAAACGCTCGACTAGTAGTGTCAGACAACAGCCGAGTTTATGGCTTTTATTCATTTTACGTTTAGGAAAATGTTTTAAACCACGATATTTATCAACTGTATGTATTCTTTTTATTATTTTAACATATTTACGTCTTATAAGTTATACGACTTCTAATCAATTAATACTTACAAAATTTAAACTTATTATAAAAGAAGAAATAATGATTAATAATTATGCTCTTTTAAATCCATGTAATTCTAATGAAATCAAAACCTTATTACAGTCTACTTCATCATATAATAATAATAATAATAATAATGATGGTCGACCACAACCAACAGTTGAACGATTGCATAAACTTTTTCAAATCCTTATTTCACATGAAAATAAATATCGTACAATATTTGATTATTTAGATATATTTCGTTTTAATGATTTTTATAATACATTACGTCCATTTGCTAATAATACTGAACGTTTACAAAATATTTATTGTCTATTTCGACAATATATTAATATATCTGACAATGGTCATATTGTTATAAAACAAAATTTTATTACTTACTTAAAATTAGTTTCAAATTATTTATCTGATGGCTTTAAAAAGCAACACTTAACCTGGAATATAACTTCAAAAGATCAAATTCAAAAACCAGTTATTATTCTTGCAGCTGATTCACTATTTTATGATACATTACAAGCATCAATGAGTACAATTAATAATTATTTAAAGGATTACATTGTTGCTATTTATGATCTTCAACTTAATATAAAACATTTAAATATGGTAAGATATAAGAAAGTTAAAAGAAATTTTCTAATTTAATAAATAATGGAAAAGTGTTTTGACATAATTGAAATTCACGTGTCTCCTGTTCTACTAATGATTTGGATCTGATGTTTTTTAAACGAAATATATACGGTATGAATCTACGAAATCACATATTCAAAGCATTGAAAATGGTAGTTTATCTTTATTTTTTTCCAAACTTTGTTTGCAAATCCTTTTCTTATCGTTTGGACAATATTGATAACAACTTGTTTCAATTTTTAATAAATTTTTCGTTTTACTTGTTATTCTGTTTTTGTCGTTCAATCTCTCCCATGCATTTTATCAAAAAACATTGAACAATAAACTTCTATAGATCGGACTTTTTCGAACATATAGTCAATTGACCTGTTTTGACACAAATGTGTGATTTTACGCTGAAAAAGTCATTGGTTTTTATTTATTTTGCCTAATATCATGATGCTCAATTTACCTAAAATTAAATACATGTTGAGCATAATGTGCTTTAATAAATGAAAAAGTATACTTAAAAATTCATCACTAGACCAGATAGAATTGACATCATCATGTTAGGCAAATGAAATAACACCAATATTTTCTTTAGTGCAAAATAACACATTCGTCCGACAACAGATCTATACTCTAAAAAAAACAGAGTAATAATTAAAACAAAGAATTTATCAAAAATCAAAACAAGTTGATATTAATGTTGAACAAACGATCAAAAAAAGGACTTTCGAATAAAATTAGGAAAAAAGAAAGATAAGCGATCATTTTCAATACTTGAAATATTTTAATACTCAGATTGATAGGTAGAAATAGAAGCTGATGCATTCATCGCCAGCCACTTGAGTTTTTCGATGAGTTTTTAAAAAATTTTGAAATGAAAAAGAGAGAAAACGATGGTAGAGAACTTATTAACAAGAAATCAGACAGCAACATGTTCAAAACTTGATTCGAGACGTCGGAAACTTTTAAAAATCAAATATCTATTTTCGTGTCACAGAAGCGATGGCGGCGGTTCAGTCGATAGGCTTATACTTCTATTCATAGCTCGTATATTTTTTGTACAAAAAGTTAGACACATATTAATAGTAGAACAGAAGAAACATGAATTTCAATTTTTGTCAAAAACACTTTTCGACTACTTGCTATCTAAAAAACAATATTTATTCTAACGGAAATATAATCTATAGAGTTTTGAATTTATTCTAGATCAAAGAGAACTGTGAACGATGTATAATTATTCCATTTCCATTTGCTCAAATTGCACCTATTGCTCCTCATGTTCGAAATCTACGCTACTTTGCTTGGAAACCTATCGTAATTCAGGTTGAATATTTATTTCTAAAAAAAACTAAATATAAATATTCATAGTTCTAGGATGCCGTACGACGTTTTGGTACTATTATTTATGGTGATACATCAATTCGTTATAAAACATCAAATTTCGATCGTTTACTTATTGATAATATGATACGTGGTTTTTCATGTCGTGAATTACCTGGACAATATTTACCATGTTTTACTTTAAGTAAAACATTTTTATGGTTCAATGAAACATTTTCAACATTTGAGGATATTTATATTGCTGAAGCAGGTTTTGTTGCTGTAACAGATAATTTTCTATCACGTCTTATACTTAAAACATGGGTAACATGTGCCCTTGACTCAATGTGTATAGCACCATATGCTTATAGAACTTACTGTAAACATGCAAATGCTTCAACAGATATACATCGTTTTGATCAATCAACTTTGGTAACTGCACTATCATTTTATTTTTTTCCAAGTCCACGTCAAAATAATAAAACTAAGCCAGCACCATATGATATGTATACATCAATACAAGAAAACTTAGCAGACGTTAAACGTAATGCAGGTGTTAAGAATTATTTTACTAGTCGAAAAAATCTTAATTTGCAACAGAACAGTTCAAAAACAACTGTAAAAATACAGTAAATGTAAATTATTTTACTATTACTGTGAGGTGATGATGATGTAGGACTTTGTTTTGTTTCTTTTTTTTTTTTAGTTGATTTTTTTTTATCTATTAATAATAAAATATTAAAAACTGATAGATGAAACATACTTTTTTTTTTATAGAATTTCAGTTTTAACAATTTATTATTATGCTGTAAATTATTGTTTTCCCCAAAGTGTTCTCGGAATCGTTTTGGGTTAAAAAACCTCTTTCAACAATAATGATACTAACAATCTTCATTGTACTAATAGATCCATTGGTGAATTCGATTGCAATACATACTCTGAAGCCATCAAAATTGAACAATGAAATCTTCGATCTGAAATTTGACATGAATGATATTCCCTAGACTGAAAGGATAGAGTCTGGAAATGAAAATTCACCTGTATCTGTCTGTCTGTATATCTGCAACATATGGTACAAGTGACCAAAATAATGGTACAGATGATCATAATCATGGTACAAGCGACCATATTGATGATATAGATAACCATATATTTGGTCATATGTACCATGGATATGACCAATCGTACCATTGTTTTGAGTGCTTGAAGCATGTTCGTGGCCGTTTAGACTATATTTTTGGGCACTCATGTTACCTCGTTGGTCAGTGGCCAAAGAGAAGGCACGAGTAACCAAAAATATTACAAAAATGATTAAAATTTTAGTCCAACTATGATAAATATGGTCGAAATGACTGAAAATATGGCACACATGACCATAGTTATCATATGATTATTGTATTACAGACAGGCAGATACAGTTGAATATCTATTTGTAGACTATTATGTCAGTCTAGAGTTAAGCGAATCGACTATCGATGAACGTTACCTGTTTGGTAATTATTCAAAAAACATATGAATCATTTTTTCAAATGTTTAAACTCAGAGTGTAAACATCATTTAATATCAATTATGAAATTAACATTTTCTAATTCACTTAAGGGAATTTTCCTGCTTTCTGGATGTTAAAATTAAAATTTATTTTGTTTTCGGTTTTTCATCGCTAATATATTTTTGAAATGTTCTCTATCAAATGCTATATGAATAAATACTCTTCGTTGTTGATTAGTACATCCATTAAATCCAACTCTCGTGCTGTGAACTTTTTTTTACAGATATTGGACATTGTTTGAAGAGCCTACTTATTTTATTTTGAAAAATACGACACTCCAAACAGTGTCTAGTGTCTGTGACAAAGAGGAGAAAAAGTTTTTTTGATCATCAAATGATTTTAGATACTTTTTATCACTAAAAAGACAAAGATACTTTTGGTCATCAATTCTTTTTCGAGTTGTAATTTTTCATTTTCTCCTGTTGGATGCTTTTACATGATACATACAATTAGGTATGTATCGAGTTTTTTTTTGCGTTATTTTCGAGCACTTTATATCAACAGCTTGAACTATGAAATAAAAGGCTGAATCATACAATCTAGACTATCAAATGAGACGTACTCGAGTTCCGTGTAAGAAACTTTTTCATTTTTATGAAAACTTTATAAATTGAACCTGGATTCGGGGCTCGAGCTCAGTTAAGCTCGATTAAGACCCTTTTTTTTACAATGCAAATAAAAATTAGAATAATTGAAACCAAGAACGCAGAAGACGTTGCATTTTGTACAGCAACATTTTGTTTATATTTTGATAGATTAGACCAAATCATTCAGTATTTCATTTCAGAACTTAAAATATTAATATAAAAATGTTCGAGAGTAACAAAAAAAAGTTCAGTACATGCCTACATACAACACTTCATTCACATTGAAAAAGCGAAAATTGATCGAACGAAAATTAGTCACTACGAAAATTGGCTGAAGCGAAAGATAGTCGAGAAATTCATAATAAAAAAAAATATAAGAGCTTCAACTGAGATGAATATGTGTGTGATAGGGTTCAAGAAGACTCATCTCACTACTCGTATCCATTCTTTATTTTTACTTTTTCTTCCTCTTTAAATCAAGTATTTCGAAGAAAGCTCGACATTCACTTTACTTGTACGTAGTATTAACCCAAAAAATTTTAAGTACGAGAAACAGTTTATAAACTAGTAATATTTTTGTATTTTCTACACAGCTGTCGATTTTATCAAAGAATTCTTTTTTTCCTTTTTTGTTATAAATTTCTAGACTATTTCTCGCGTCGATTAATTTTCGTCGACCCATTTTTATCAGAACCATAAATCAAGAAAAAAAAGGAACAGTGAACAGCAAAAAGAAACCAAGTTATAGAAAGATTAAATATTCGGTCATTTTCATTGCCAAACTTCATTCTGTTTCTTTTCTTTTTTTTGTAACTCATACTGCCTATAGAAACATTAACATACCCTTTTTTTCTTTTCTTCCCAATTTCTTTTGCTAGTTAAAACAACAATATATATGTTTTGTTCACAAAAAAATTTCCATCGATTTTAATAACAAACGATAGTATTACTCTAAAGCAAGTAAGAATTGTTTTTTATTTTCTATAAAATACTTAAGAACATTTTTGAAAACTTAAAATTTATTAAAAAATTAAATTATAATAACAAGAAAAATTCTTTGAATAATTTTCATTGATCATAAAATCTTTAAAATTTAATGAAATTTTTGTCTTCTCGATAGTAGTACAGAAAAAAGAAGAGTTATACATGTTCGAATGAAATTCTCAGTTCAATTTAGAATAAATAAAAAATCTTCTTCATTTATATTTTAATATAGTTTAACAAATGAACGTATTATCTAGCCGAACATCATCAACATTGATAGATCCATTGAGTCGTATGATTGTATTCATAACTGGTCTTTTTACTATAGCCGCTTTAATTCTATCAATTGTTGGTACAGCTACATATTCATGGTATTTTAATCAAGATTCAACTGGTAAAATAGTTTATTATAATTTTTTTACTCAATGTACAGGTAATATACTTAATACATCGTCAAGTTGTAGTGATATACAACGTAATACTGTACTTGGTCTTGGTACTCAACATGCAGCTGGACTTTTAGTTGTTGCTCTTTGTCTACTTGGTCTTGGAATGTTAATTATTTTGTCTATGAATTTTATTCAATTAATTGGTTTATTAACTTTTATTGCACCAATAATTCTTTTTCTTGCAGCTCTTTTTATGGTTGCAGCTCTTGCTGAAGGTTCACGTGTTACAACATATAATAGTTATAGTGCTAATCTTGTTGAAACTGGACATTTACTTACAATATTTTCAATGGGTTTAATTGCTTTTGCTAGTGGTCGATTACATTTTCGATATTATGAGCTTTGAAAAAAACAAAATACTTCTTTCTTTCTTTCTTTTTTTTCTTTTGTTCTTATTGATAAAACATTTGTAGGAAATAATAATAAATTAATGATACAATTTTTTTTTTTATAATAAATATTTAATACAAAGAATTTATTGTCATACAAGTAAAGTAACCTTCATTGTTTATTACGTCTCACAAATTGTCCTTCCAATTCTATGAAAAAAAAACAATTCACAACAACTCTATTGTCGTACTGTTCGATAGCGACTTCCATGTTGTACAGAGGCATTGCTATGGTATGAGTAAAAGAAAATGAAAAAAAAGAGAAATAAATGATGCTTGTTTAAGTGCATATTGACGTCGTTGAAATTATAAACATGCAACAAGTGCGTTCAAACCGAGAACCAGTACATGAAACAGCTGCTCGTGGAGAAGGAGGATCTTCTATTGCTGCTCGTACTGAAATAGCATCATTATTTAATGACTATACTGGTTCACAACGACTTTGTATGTATTTTATAATAGAAGTGTTTGTTTCTTCTTCCTTGATAAACACTTGTATATGTATATATATATATATATATGAAATATTTAGATCATGATCGTCTTGAATCTCTTGAACGTGAAATGGCTTCACTAAAAGGTCAAGTCAATCAAGCTTTTTTGACGCCATCAAATGAATCTGATCTTAATCGTTCATCTTCGACTAGGAAACCACCAATTTCACAACCGACATCAGCTCGAGTTACAAGTCCTCCTCGTATTCCATTGGCACCTAATGCTCGTAGAACAGCCAATGATGAAATGCAGATAATTTCTACGCATGATGGACCTTTTTCACGTCCTCTACCTCAAGTACCTGTTACTCGTAGTAAAAGTTTTCATAATGGTGCATTACAATCATCATCATCTCAACCAGTAAATAGTTCGGATGAGACTAATCTTCTTCGATCTTATAGAGTACATCTTGAACAAGTACTTCGTAAAGATGCACCACCATTTGCGGATATTAAAGTACCAAATTATACATCTATAGAAGATGTTTTGAAAGCCAATGAGGTATTTATTTATTATATCATTATAATTTATGATTATTTTTATTTTATGAATATCTAGCAACTAGTATTGGAAAATGATCGTCTTCGATCTGAATTGAATCGATTAAAAACAGAAAGTATTTTATTACTTCGATCTTTGAGAGCAACTACTGGATTAGAACCAAATTTGGGCAATGAACGGGTTTGATAATTATATATTTCAAATTTTTATTTTATTATTTTTTATTTTAGATTATTGCGGAACGTGAACGTCAAGAATTAGCTATTGAATTAGCACGTCAAGTAGAAGAAAATAAACGTCTTCGTCGATCATTATTGGCTCAATCAGCAAAATTTTTAACATTACGTCAATCAACAAATGCTACTGATACTTCTGTATCTACATCAAATGATCATCGTCTTACTCCGGTAAGAATAATTTTATTATTATTAAAGATATTTTCATTTGATTTTTTCAAATGAAGGAATCTGCACCACAGCCAACACTTAATCTTAATAAAACTCAACCACAATCAAAATCATCTCGTTTTATCGTCGGTAATCGAGGTGCTGCTCGACCTCGAACATTCAATCATGGCTCACACGATCCAGTGTAAATCGTTAATTATAGATCTGTGTTTGCAATACATCTTTCGTTCATTGTTGTTTCTATTTGACACACCTTATTTGAAAATCTTATGATCACTCAACCTATCTCTCTTCTTTTTTTTTTTTATAAATTCATTTGGTGAAGAAATGAATATATATTTATTTCGTT